TAAGGTCCAGTCTCTTCGTGACGGACGAGTGATAGAGCTGATTTTCAATGCAGGCTTGTTACTCGGGCTGAGGAATCTGTTGATCAGGTGGTCAGCCTCTGTTGTTCAACATTCAGCTGACATGCTTGTTCGATTAATATTCCATTTACCATTGATTGATCCTGTGCGAGCTGAAACCTTTGTTCCCAAAGGCCTCACTCCGTGATACGTGGAAACGTGAATCTGGCGAGAAACGCCCTGTTTTTTCTTGGATTGTTGACCCGAAAATTGATTATACATGAGTGCTTTGATTGAGTTACTCCTCTAGGGCATGCAATATCCCTAAATCCTGTCGTCTTCATTCATGGAGGTGGTATCCACCTTTCTGAAGTTCTCTTCCTATCTGCGACCCCAGTGCTGTTCCTCTAAGGTTTAGAAGAAACCTGAGATCCCTGTTAAATACATTTTTCTTTGCGGGATAACGTCAAGGTTCAATACCTCATACAGTTCTCATCCCACCGAAAGAGTTGCTTTCTGCTGTTCCCAGCAGGAAATGCTATGGAGTTATCTTACTCTATCAGAAGAGTTAATCTACTTATATATTGTGGAAAGTAACAACGATTGTTTGATAGAATGTAAGTTTGGTTACGGTCACAAACTTGCCGTATTTCTCTTCATCTTCGCGTCAGATGGCGGTTTAGAAAAGTGAATTAAGAAGCTAAGTCCTTTCATCCTAAAACCACACCACGCTATCTTGCTGAGAAGCTCAGTGATCAACTTATTGTCATAGTGACCGTGTTCAGCACGACCGACGCCTACCGAGGGATCAAACGAGGCGCCCTGACAGTGCAGTGATTGGTGGAGTAATCTCTTCGTGACCTAATGTGCCTGATTTACTTCCTTCAACCTTTTTCCTTCTCTTTGTCATTTTATTTTGCTGAAGTTACTCGTCCGTCTTGATTTAACGAGCGAATTGGTTCGAGACGGTAATACTACCTTACTAACCTTGCTCAGTATTTAGTTTTTACTAAAGCTGAGTAAAACTGAGGTTACCTGCGAACAGCAAAGTGCTATTCGAAAAATACACTTATTTGCATAACAGTTTGGTTTTCGCTGGAGAATCACAACTGAATCTCTCCCGTTCATGATGTTCTTTAAAGATGAACACAACGTCATCCATGTACTCTATATTAGCAAGATTCTCAACAGAAACCATCTGAACACCGGAATTCTTATGACATTCCAGCGTTTGTCTCATTACTTCATCAGCGGGGAAGTTCAACAAGAAGTTGAACAGGCTTCCTGGAGCAGCAAACGGTAGTAGAGTGCTCCTCATATTTTTAGCTTAGATTTTAATTACCCTCCGCATGGAAGATGATTTTGTACTTTTTTAAGCATTTGCTGAAAACCTGAGCGTCTCAACTCTTGAACATAACCATGATTTAGCGAAAAAACGGATGACAGTATCTTTCGGTTTGTCAAATGTACCAGTGTATGACAAACAACAGTCACTGAAACAAACAAACAGAAAATGAACTGGGGATTCAAAAACTGCTCACCTCTTTGGTATCCGAAAGATGCGAGATTTTAAGCGGAACGATTTTTGGATCTGTGGCAATTTTCTGATGTTTTATAGGTTGCTTTATTGGTTATATGGCTAATCAGTGAATATAAACTCTTGATACTACGCGAGTTGATCACACAGCTCATCAGATATCCGTAGTCGCATGACAAGTTTCCATCTGAGAGCTGATAATTCGCTATCGAAGCCTTTTTCAACGGTTTAAGGCACTAACCTATGAGCTTCCACATTTATCTACCCCTTGAATTACTTAGACTTGAGTGTATAATGCATACATGTAAATCTCAGCTGCGAATTTGAATTTCTGCCTATCACAATCACGCTTCGCGCGATTGATTTTTTTGCGAATGTCTGGGTTTTATTCTTCGGTTTTAGTATTTGCTGGCTTGGCTGATTACGTGGAGCCGCTGTGGATTAGTGTGTATCTATGTATACCATCTCTTTCATTCTTCCTTCATCTTCCTTATTCCAGCACACAGTTAAAACACTCAGGGAGATTCAAGGCATATTGATTTGAAAGGCGATCTTCCAATGTTCTGACCCAACCTTGTCAGCAGTGAAAAAATTTATAGTTCCAGGAGGTGAATTCCAGGCGCCTGGCGTGCAGGGCGAGCGTTATCGCTATTCCACCAGCATGTGATGAATTCAGCTGAATGTGAATGCTACAAATATCGCAACAATCTACAGCTCATCAAAAATTTGTCCAATTTACTGGCGGTTGATCAGATGGCAGGTGATCTGTTCGCCGAGCTTGGCAGTTGGCTTGCAAACGTTTCCTCCTCATTCAACTGCGCACTGACGATGTCTCCACAGCTCATCATTTGTCCAATTTACTGGCGGTTGATCAGATGGCAGGTGATCTGTTCGCCGAGCTTGGCAGTTGGCTTGCAAACGTTTCCTTCCTCTTCAACTGCGCACTGACGATGTCTCCTCGAGTGAGAACGAAACGTTTGCAAGCCAGTTGCCAAGCTCGGTGAGTGGATCAACTGTCATCTGACTAACCACCAGTAAACACGTCCGAGCTACCTATATTTTGACAGTTGTCCAATTTGTTCCAAACGTTCATAACGCTACTCGGCCTATCAATACGGTGCCCATAGTTTTCGGCCAGCAGTCATTTCTGTTCCACGCATTGTCATCCGTGTGCATTTCGACCAAAGAAGCCTGCTCTTGAAACATGGCCATCCGGTGACATTTTTGACGTGATTTTATTCATTGGTTCTTATTACGCTTAAAGACCAGAATCAAGGACGGTTTTAAGTAGCCGAGTCCTGTTGAGCATTAACGTCAATTCTAAAGGCAATTATGATACATTCACATTCTTCATTAGTGGCTACGGAAAGGAGGGTTTCATGGTTTTGATTGGTAGCTGTCAAATTACGAACTAGACAAGAAGTTCGTATAATGTGGGCTGTAGCTTAACTACTATTATTTCATTTCGAAGGACTTCCACCGTACAAGAATTTTGTCCCTCGATTCCTTTTCGATCGCGACTTCAGCGGAACAATCTGTCTAATTTTCTTTTCTATTAGGACGGTATTTTTAGAGGGACAAAAAACAAAGCAGTTCCTGCATCTGATTAACAGAGAGTTTATTGCCGATGGACGTTTGGATCAACAGTGGAAATTGCAATCAGAGGGCTCGCTCCAGAAACTAAATAAATTTAACTGTATGGAGTTGCTTTACGGTCTGGTACACTAGCAGGCTATGTTTTCCTGTCACAGAGGCCAACAGGGCACACATTCTCTTTGAAGACCAGATTCAGATCAAAACGGAAAACAGAAACATTTGTGTAATGAATATGTGTGCTTATATTACAACGAGATTATGACTACTGAGAGCTCCCCAAGTAATATATCGTCGCTGTTGCCAAATGTTTCCGTCAAACCTCACCAGCTTACTTCATTTCACAGTTGTTACAAGTTAAGAAACGCTCCGTTTTCACTACCGACCAAGCTAAACGAACTATTTCCAGCGGAGATCTTGATTTGTCAGAATGTCATGGATTTCGATCGGTTTTGGGATGAGCAGTTTTTGCAGCAGATTGTTTACCTCGTGGTTTTGTTAGACTTATTGATTATGACTGTTGCATTTACCGGTATTTCCTGAGAAAAATGTCAGTTTCTCATGTTGGGGGTTCCTCTAGAGATTGCATGCAGGGGCGATGTATAAGGGGATATCTTTTGCTGACTTTATCCTCCACGATTATCATCCACCTATGTAGTGCGAAGGGCTCAGATGCCTCAGTGTTTCGAACTTGCACGACTCTATGGACATGTCACAGAACAGCCTCTATTGCTCTACAATCTTTGTTCCAGCTGCATTGGAAGTATCAAATTTGATCTAGCCTTCGACTGGTATGGAGAAGCAGGTATTGATTTATCTCAAAGGGACGGTTCCGCGTTCACCTACTTCCTCTACATGGCTGGTGTTTCTCAACTTTACTCAGCCTATAAGAATATAGACCTCAAATAACCTCTCAACCACTAGAGACCCCAAATTTTGAAGTGCCCAGGATAATTTCACATAACATTAATCTCGACAGTTTGAACACCGTAATGCTTTTTTTGTGAACTTTACAAAACCATTGTAAGTTCGATACTCTGACAAACATCTTATCCGTTCCAACTTTCCAGGGCCATCCTTGTATTAGGATACGACTAGATTATCAATGCTCTACGATCTCCTTTGCTGCAGTTTCCCCGTCTTGCTTGCTTAACAGAACAAAGTGAGACTGATTTCCAACCATCCAGGTCGAGTGGATTCTCAATGAGCAATGCACCTCGATGCCATGGTGATCGAGTGGTTGTAAGATGGCTACTCGATGGAACTTTTCTTTTGATCTACAGGTGGCCAAGACATACAGGACATTCAGAGGCCTGTGAACATGTACGTGATGCATGGGGTCCAAAAGGAAGTTATGAAAGAACAATGCTCCTGGAGGAGGAAGGCACA